TCATAATGCTTTATAGGAATAATCATAACAAATTATAAAGCATTTTATCATGACTTACCATGTCAGGTATTATGGTGAGTTATGCTTATTGTTATAGAGCCTTATAATAATTAATGAGTGTTTATAATGATAGCTATACAAGTTTATAAGCAAATTATAACACATCATAAATATATGTGTAATGCATTATCTATGTGGACATTGTCAGTGTGTTGTTAACAGTTATAACACATTATAAAACCTGATCTTGTAAGTCATGATAAAATGCTTAATGATGTGTTATGATTATTGCTGTAAAGCATTTTGATCATTTGAGTGTTTATAACTATAGTTATACAGTGCTATTACATGATTATAACGCATTGTACATATATTTATAATGCGTTATAGAGATAGGCAACAAGTTAAGTGTTACCAATAGTTACAACTGGTATGATGAATTTACAGACAGCCGGTGTGAGGCACAACCACAGTCAACCAAATCCACCAGGACTGCCAGAAAGGAAGCCAACAAGACAGCTTCACCGCAGTCCTGGGCTGTGTGTGGCACAAAAAACAGAGCCCCGGCTTGAGAGTGAAGGCTCTATTAAAGGACATCAAATATTCATCTGCCATACGGCACCGGGCCCCATGGCTGTGTCCCCACAGAACAGAGCAACAAACCACCAGGAAAACTGCTCCTGAAAACAACAACAACAATGTGAGGAGCACATAAAAAATATGTGTGACCCTAACTAACAGCAGCCGACAATAAATCAATGGAAATGTTATTGTTGAGCAGAATTAAATGAAATACACTGAATTTTAGCTGTGAGACGTTTTACAAATTTGTTACAACATTGTACTGGACAGAAAAGTTTACTTTGTCTTCCACTTTCATCATATAGCCTCACAGACTTTGGAGAGAATAATAATGACATCACCAGACTGACCATGCGGTTCAATACGTTGAGTTAACTCCAAACTGTCAATAAAAACTCCATCAATGAACCCGCTCAGGCCCATCCGGACTGCGATCAGGTCTTAAATGTGTTTAGTGCTGCTGTCAGGGGGTTAATTCTATAAGCAGGCTAGCAGGCTGCCTATGATGACATTATCAACCTGTTAACAACCACAGAGGAGCTCCAGTGATTCCTCTAAAGGCTCTGTCATCTGTCAATCTGTGTAAGTGCAAGTCCACAGTAGCTTATCTATAGTGCGATATATTGAGGTTCTTTGTGTTGTACAGAGATAAGCTACCCCTGTTATTTTCAAAGTTGCTTTTTTTTATGCATTTCTCACTGCACCAAGATGGCCAATGAAGCAACAGAAACCCACACTATGATGATAGTTTTTGCATTTGTATCAATTATGCGTGCAAACAAACAGATGTGCAAACGTCGTTGAAACAGATTCTCCTTCTTTAACCTCAGATGTTTTACCCATCATGCTCACCGCCCCTCCTTATATGTGTCACATGGTACACATCACCACCACCCCTCCCTATTGGTACGACAGATTTTTCCCCAGTGTTTTCTGCTGAGCTCTCACATCAGCTTTATCTAAATACTTGCAGGATTTTCTTCTAAGGGGCTGGCAGGACACATTCTTAGTCAAATTGGTATAAAAATTTCAACTGTCTTCGGTCACACATGCAGCCATCTCCCAGATTTAAAGGGAAGAATTTTAAAGGGGGCCCAATTCATAAAACTGTTCATAATATGTAATGCTGAGCTTCAGTGAGTGGTGTCAAGCAGCATGACTATGACCATAAAAATTTTCACCAGGGGGTGGCATGGACACATTCTCCAGACATCCAAGTCATCTTTGGTTTGATTTATTTTTGCTCCTCCACTATTCAGATATGCACTGTCTGTTAAAATGCAGCAGACATTGATATTGAGATTGACGAGAAACAGCCAAAATTTGATTTATCTTTTTTTTTTTTTTCATACCAGTAAGAACGTTTTTCAGAATCGAATTTTAATTGTTTTTATTTGTGTATGATAAGGCCTGTTTTTGCTGCTTTAAATGCATTTTCATTTCAATCTTTTTATTGAATAGAAGTTCATTATTTTCATTCGTATTTGATTAGATTTCTAAAATTTTTGCAGTACCAACAGATATAAGTTTAACTTGTGCCTTGCTCTTGTGACAACTTCTCAACAATGAAGTGTTTTCTATTCCATCAGAGCACATGAGTACAGAGACGTAAGCAACATACTGTTTCTTTTCTTGTTCTGGTGCTGTAATTTGTTTTTCCATTTGAATTTTATAGGCACAACGCGAACACACAAGTGAGAGGATAGTCTTACTGTTTAAAAATAAATAGGATTTGCATTGAGGATCAGGTGAGCATCAGTGAGCAATACTGGCAACATTTTCTAAAAGCGTTTGACCTTGGAGCTCATTTAAGCTCTTAGTTGACATCGGGTCACGCTTAATAAACAGTTTATCAGTTGTATTCACAGTGGCATGCACAGATAGACACTAGATGGTGCTATAGCGCCTGCCCTTTGGACCAAGCAGGTGCCCTTCTGAAAGTTCGGTTTTTTGTTTGTTTTGAGAGATTGACACAGAAAGTGAGCATGACTGAATCCAGATGGTTTCTACTGATGCTGTCTGTTCGGTTATCTGGGCCCCTCTTTGCTCTAGTCAAGTCTGGTCTTGTTTCCTCTCAATAAAATATCAGTAACTTAGAAACGAACACAATAGTAAATAAACAACACAAGATACCAGATGAATAATTTCACTCTGTTGAAATACTGAAAAGATTTAGAAATAAGGTTTATGTATCCTTATTTTTAGATGGTTCACAGTCTCCTTTGCTCCTCTGATCTGTGCTGGCTTCTTTTCTGCTCTATTAAGATCTACGTATTTGGTCTGGACTCATGTGGTCTGGTCTTTTTTTTTTCCCACTAAATGACAGAGAAATGAATTTCAGGCAGAACAAGTTTTATTTATCAATTTAATTACTTTAATTCAAATGTAATACTTAAGAAAGCTGAAAATATATAAGAATAAAATATATTTATCTTTTTATCTCAGCTTATCTACAGCCTTGGTCTCTGTTCTTCTCTGGTTACCTTTTCCACTCCACTGTATGACACACAAAGGAATGTCGGGCAGAAAGAGTTAATTAATACATATTAAAAAAAATAAAATAAAATTACAATATACATCAGAAATCTGAAGACATACTAGAATTGAATATATTTATCTTTATTTTGAAGATAGTTTGCAATGCAGGCTGCCCCCTCAGCTCCTCTCTGGTCTGGTCTGCTATCATCTAGTCTGGTCAGGTCGAGGCTCATTTTCTTTCTGTGAAAGACATATCATTTGGGAGGTACAATAAAAGTTAGTAAAGAGCCTAAGATACTTATGGAATAATTAAACAGTGGAGAAACAACCAATAAAAGAAATTAGAATAAAATATATTTATCTTTTTTCATCAGTTTGTGATGTAGGCTGCCCCCTCAGCTCCTCTCTGGTCTGGACTCATCTTGTCGGGTTTCTTCTTCTCTCTAAAATCAAATAATGACTGAAAAAGGACTTTAGTAAATTAGCAACAGCAGTGAGCAGAACAGTTTTCTCAATGAACCCACAGATTTAAAAAAAAAAAGTTACTTTTTTTAATGGTTGACAGTGAACACCATCTCCTCTGATAATCTCTGGTCTGGCCTCATTTTCTCTCCTCTTATTAAGACAAGTTAAAGGTAAATTAGGACAATAGTAAAGGCCTTCAACAACCAAGGGAGTAATTTTCCAATTTCAGACTTCTGATGATGAGAATAATAGTTGCATGTATTACTTTGTTATCATGGTGGTGCAGAAGTTAGCACTGGTGCCTCGCAGCATGAAGGTTCCTGGTTCCTGGCACAGGTTCTCTCTGTACGTGCATGGGTTTGCTATGGGTGGTCTTGTTCCTTCAAAGACTTGACTTACTTGACTTGGTGGTCCTTTGCTACTCACAGGACTGTTTACCATTTTACTCGGTTAATGGCTGTACTTTCTGGAACTCCTCAGTTCAGCCCTCCCCTGGACATCTCTGCTTAGACTCGTCTTCTCCAGCTGTTTTTGGTGTGTCCTCTTTTGCTTGTTTCCTGCAGGATTCATTGAAGGGCTTGTCTGGTGATGTCTGACGCAGGTTCTTTTAGGATAAGCTCAACGCAGTTCAACTATCTCCCTTGAATGTGTCAGTCAGTGAGGTCCTGGTTTGTTCTCCTCCACAGGTTACTCTATCTCTCCACCAGATTTGTCCTCATGAGGCAAGTGTTCATGAATATATGAAACCTGTATTTTGTTGTTCTCTGTTTCTGATCCACAAAGCTTCACCCTCTGCACAAGTGTGGTATATTTCACTTCATATCCTGTATGTAAAGGCTTTCGAGTCACCTCATAAGCATAGTTGTACTCTGCCAACCATTAGTTTCTCACATTTTTCATTTTGAAGCCAAATTTCCTCAAACTTGCCTTTCTTATTTTCCTTTTCTTCTCTCTTAAATCGAATTGAAGTATTTTTTTAGACTCCATCTTCACTCTTTAGCCTTTACTGAGGCCTGTACAGGAGGTGCCATTATTAACACTCTGGCATAAAACACAACTGCAGGTACCCTGTCTGTTCCTCCATAACAAAATAAGGCATACATACAGCCTAATGATGTCTCATCTGCAAGCACAGTGCAACCTCTGACAGAACAGTAACATAAGTATGCAAGGGCGCCATCTAGTGAGAACATTTCACAGGAAGAAAACTCTAAACTGGATGGAGTGAGCCACGACTGCATTTGGGGGTTTGTTGACAGCACAGGTGTAAATACAACTCTTCTTCTGTGGTTGTTTAAGCGAAATCAGACAACTCTGCGCATGTCCAAATGCCTCTAATCTGAATAAAACTTGGTGCATGTATACACATGTCATGATCGGATTATTCGATTTCACACAGAGTGGGCTCAGATTATAAGATTCCTTTAAATTTTTATTTTGATCAAGAAATTTTGCCTATGGAAACATGGCTACAGTCACACTCTGATGCATAACGGTCTGCGGCTCTCCTTGCCCCTGTCCTCCTTCTCCTCATGGCTCCTATTCATTGGTCTCTCAGCACACCCAGACTCGAACTTGAAGTTGCAGAGAACAGACATGAGGCACTGTCCATTCTCGTCATAATCGCAGACCCTCCAGCGGTTATTGATGACAGAGTGATTAGTATCGGTGACCATGGAGATAACTCTTGTAATCGTCCTCCCATCCATCATCAGAGTTCGAACTTGGCACCTGGGGTCTCCTATAGTCCCCAGCTCCACCCGCTCAGGAAGGGCCGCGGTCTGGATGGTGCGGGAAGTAAAGCCTGCAGAGGGCACCATCATTCCAGGTGGAAAAGACAGTAAGGGGTGTGGGTCGTTCTCCCTGTTCCACTTCCACCTAAAGGGTGTGAAGAGCAGCAAGCTGCAAAAGGGTCCTCTGATGGGTATTATAGGGAAGCCTCTTGAGCCTGTGATGTAATTGTGATAGAGGCTCATCACCACCTGACTCAAGGAATCCACTCTGGATGGGTCAAGGGGACGATTCCTCAGGTTGGTGACAACCAGTTTAAGGCCTTGTTTTGGCACAGGCAGAAATGCTGGACAGAAAGAGGAGAACGGGAAAACACAAGACAAATGGTCAGGATTACAATGATGGGACTCCTTAAAGATGAGAAAAAGAAGCTAAAGTAGCAGCTGGATTCTGACTTAAAAATTCAAATAATTTAAGACAGAAGAACAAAAAGACTGACACTGAAAGATTATTTAAGTTGATTTAATTTAAGTTCAATAATGTATGAAACAGTTACTCATAAAACACTGAAATCAGATTAAAAGACCAAAATGCTACTTTTAGAGTGACAATATTCGACTTCATTTTTTTAATCTTTGATTTAATATGATGAAGGCTGATGAGCTGTACAGAGACTGAGGACTAAATTTCAGACACACAATATCAAACGTTTTAATCTGACTTTATTCATTGTCAAAAATTTAAACATAAATGTGTCAAAAACCGTAAAGATGAAGGTCGAGTTAAAGACTATCCTCATAACAGTCAATTTAGACTAGTTGGACTATTTCATGCTAACTCTGTCAGCCACACACACCACAGGCCTGGGCTACCACGTCAGAGGCATGTCTGATAACGTTTAAAGTCTAAATAACGGTTAAATAATGGGACGGTCGCCATCTTTGCCCATTACTTTCAATGTTAAAATTTTAAACCAAATAAATCACAAGTTTTGCTCAAACACCACACTAATATTCACATTTTTACACATGTTACTCCCATTACAGTCGGTGCACATTACATATGTCATTAATTTAAGATAGCATATCGTAAAAAAATGTGAATCTATCCTTGTCAAAAAACATTTAACAAGATTAACAAGATCTGACCTTTGATCAAGGTTAACATATTTTTAGCATAAATAATTAATTTATTCGATGCTTTAAATTGATGAATACCTAAATCTTTTTTAACATTAGTTGTTTTTCCTGTGTTTAATATCATAAAAAACAGAGAAAACATGTTAAAGAAGTTTTACCATAGTCCCTAGGCAGACTGCCGACGTTGACGATGAGCTCGTACTTCTCTCTGCCACATCTAGAAAGGGCCATGGTTTCCTTTTATCCAAGCTTGCAGTCACTGTTATTCGAAGTTGTTGCCGATGTTCAAGGTCGATATTTTGCAGTAAATATAGCTTGTCCAACAGATAAAAAATAATCTCCTCTGGTTTTTAAGCGCTCCGGTTTGGAAATGAATTTAAATTTTCGTGACCTGTTCCTAAAACGTTAGGAGTCATCACCATGACGACCAGCGTGAGAAATATGAAATATTTCTAATAACAACATCTAATCACCATTAAAAAAACATCCACAGCAGATAATTAAATACGAATTAATTTTATAACAATTACACAAAATGAAAAAGGTATTTACTACACAAAAACACTTTGTGTGTAATTTCTGCTTTGATGTAGAGGCCTAACGAAAAGGCTTTTTATCTAAGTAAAAATATGTGGTCACAAAACTGTGAACAAGAAATTGTTGTGCCTTTTAAGATTTTATTTATATTTCTTTCTGTTATTGTATTTAGTGTGGATACAATTTCAAATGAAAAATTTGGTGGACCAAATGCCCTATTGATAGACACTAGGTGGTGCTATAGCACATGCCCTTTGCCCTCTCTGGCCCAAGCAAGTGCCCTTTTGAAGGTTTGTTTTTTTTGTCAATCAATTATCAATTAAATGCATGTAATAATGACCCCCCCCCCCCACACACACACACACACACACACACACAGTATATTGTTTGTTATGTAAGCTGTCAATATACTTTAGCTGAATGTTTAGAGTTGATTTCCCAACTGCTCCTGCTTTGGAGGAGCATCCTCTTTGGTGCTATGTCTTTGAGGATTCTAATTACAACAAGGCAGACTGCTATTTTTCAGCTGCAAGAGTGCTGACAAGGGCCAGAGGGCGAGAGCATATAACGCCAGTTTTAGCATCGCTGCATTGGCTCCCCATCCGTTTCAGGATTGATTTTAAGGTTCTTTTATTAGTTTTTAGATGTATCAATGGTCTTGGCCCCTCCTATTTATCTGACTTACTTTTACCATATCAACCCTCGCAGACCCTAAGGTCCCCCGGCACAGGCCTTTTAACCTTACCCAAAGTCAAAACAAAAACACACAGGGAGGCGGCGTTCAGAATTTATAGTCCCCGTTTGAGGAACAGCCTGCCGGAAATCCTCAGGGCTGCAGAGACTGTTAATGTTTTTAAGAAGAGGCTCAAGACTCACTTTTTTAACCAGGCTTTTTACTAAGTGCCTTTTTATATTTCTCTTATTGCAAATGTTCATTTTAATTGAAGTTCTTATTGTTTATTTTATGTCATTCTATTAATTATCTCGGTTCTTAGTCTTTTTCTTAATTCCCGTCACAGGTTTTTACTTCTTTTGCCCTTTTTAATATGGTAAAGAGCTTTTACTTATCTGTTCATTTAATATTATTTTCTTGTTTTAGTCCATCAGGTTTTATTCTTTCTTTTCACAATTTTTATCTATATTTTTATCTTCAGTGTTTCCCAGAGGTAGCTCTTTCCTCACGTAATGTCTTGGTGTCAGGCTATGTCTCTCTAACAATATATCTTAAATTCTCACACTGTCTGCGGTTGTGTGTGTGTATGTGTGGGTGAGTGCGTGTGGGTCCATGGGTGTTTGTGTGGGTGGGAGGGTTGGGTTTTATTGTCATTATTGTTGTTTTTAGCCTCTGTGAGGCACTTTGAATTGCATTTTTTTTTTGTATGAAAATTGCCATACAAATAAAGTTGGATTTGAATTTGAATGAGGATTGTTATCTCACCAGTGAGAAATATTTTTCAACACTCTTCATTTATCTTCATTATACAATTTTTAAAGTGTCAATTAGTCATTCATATTGATTATTGCTATTTCTTGTTGTTGTTCGATGTAGTTGTAGTTGATGCATTTTGATTTTTAAGTTGTGTTAGCTTACTAAATTGCTGCAATACCCCCACCTGGACCAAAGATGGAGGTATTGTTCCATTTCAAAACTGTGATTTTTATGCAATTTTTTTATACAGAGGATTGTATTTCATTTAGTAATATCTAGTGTACTAAGCTCCTGAAGTCCCATAAGGCAACTGCTTTAATTTGGAAAGCACAAGTACACTGTTTTGTGCACACAAGATAAACCTGTTACTTTTGCAGGACTTCAGAGGGTTCATACTCATGAAAAACAGTTTGCAACAAACTACTGTTTGCAGATATCAAGTAAGAGTAGCTTCCCAAATACGGTAATACTTTTCTTAGGCACAGATTTCTTTGAAAGTTTGTATAACTTCTCTCTGTTTATCTACTAGAACAAATCCAGGGAGGTTTTTTTTGGAGAGAACTCAAGCGTCACAGTCAGCCGAAGCAGCAGCAGCAGATCTACATCAAACACAAATATCACTGAGCTCCACAGGTCAGAAGTTCTCTGTGCTGTACAGTATTTTTACAGAAGAGGGCAGCATTTGCTTTACACAGGCTGGTAGATATATCATCCCTGCACACTCCTCTGCCTCGTGTTTCTGACTGAATGGCTCCCCTGAGTTGAAGTGGCTAATCTGGATTACCTTCATTGAGAAAATTTCCCAGGCGCTGGCAGACAAGATGTGGTAATCTCCAGGAAGTCATTTACGTGGATGACTCTGCATTTCAACAGAAGCCCAGTTTGAGTCACTGTGAAAGTAGGGGAGAGGGTTGTGATTCATTCAGATAAAATCACAGAGCTCATAAATTAAAGCTTCATCACTCATAGGAATGCAGAGGTTAAATGTTTAAGAAGAAAAATATTTCCTTTTTTTGTGACAGATGCAGCTGTCATGTAGAGTGAAGATGGTAATCTGCAGGGGAAAAAACACAAAAGGAAGGGAAGGCTTGTCTTACACATAGTTTATAGGGTTGGGATCTGAGCTAGCCGACTAGCGCTTTGCGTGCCTGCAGATAATTACTGTGTGCCTACAGAGAGCAGTATCCACTGAGAGGGGAGCCTTAAATGGCTAACAAGAAATGAGCTCATGGCTACCTATAGTGATAAGAGGCCTGAGGGTGAACGTTATGTTGCAACTATTGTTTGGAATATTATGATTGTATTCAGCTTGCGTTTATGTGTTTCAGTAAGTTTAATATATTTGGGGGAATTGCTTTTTTATCACAGTGATGCATTTGTTCATGTGTTTTTGTCTTCGTAACTGAAATGACTATGATCTAATGTATTTGATATTTTTATTATCCTTACAAAAGACTTTTTGATAAATAAATAAAAAAACAGCATGCTATATATCTGCAAGACATATGTTTTGGCTATTTGATATTTTTACTGAATTTTTATTTGAATGAACAAGCTTCACAGTTGTCAGTCTCATTTATCTTTACTTTTTTGTAATAATAGAGCTTATTGAGGATTATTTTGGAGGAACATAATAATAAATGTCTCTTGTTTTAGCATCTCAGGGCCAAACCATCTTTATTCCAGATAAATGTACATTTCATTGTATGAATTAAACTAACAATGTCTGCAGAAATACAATAGAATATGGTCTGTTGTATCCCAAACCCTCTTCAGAGAAATCCATCTGTATGCAGCCTGTCATGTAAGGTTGGGCAGTGATATTCAGGGAGCAAAGACTGTTTATTTATCTATGACTGATTAATTTTCTAAATGAACCCTGCGTGCGAGCCCAAAACCAGGGTAATTACCACCATACACGACCGATCTGTGATTCCTCCCCCAGTTCATGTGCAAAGCACAGCATGGTCTCTATGATGTACCTGAGTGTCAGTATGCTGGAGCTCCCTCGGTTAGCCACAGAGACGTCGTCATCTAGGATTAGCCTGCAAACAGTGAGCACAAATCACAGCTCTGTGCTAAATGTCAGAAATATACACTGTGAAAGAAATACTCCCCAAGAACCAGAGATTTCACAGCCCCACATACGGACCTATTTTAGTCCAAAGATCAACACCACAGCTTTTTATTCATTAATTTACAAACTGAAAAATCAACTAAGCTTACCACACGCTGATTATGATTTGAAGTGTGGTTTCACTGCTTTTCCAAAAAGAAACATGAATCCAGACATTTCTAAGAGAAGCATGAAAAGCAAGCCTGGTGTTGACACTTCTGGGAAGTTTTCAAGAAGTGTGCCAACCTAAATGATTTCAAACTGGGTGAAGAGTAAGGAATGTTCAGTTTTCACATTATCCCACAAACTTATTTGATAGACGATTGAAAATGTGGTCACCAGAATGAAATTTTAACATGTGAGGATGAGTTTGTGGTAATTGGTATCAGTCTGAAACCATGTGTACAGCAGTGTTGGAATGAATCCTTAAGTTTTTTTCATGTAAAAAAAAGAGAATACCATCACGTTCGGGGTGAAATAAAAGTAAGGCCGATATAATGTCTCCACTTCATTCTTCATATTCATATGATGATAGTTTGAATAAGTAGTCTTTACCAGTCCAAGTGAGAGAAATTACTTTAAGAGGTACAACGGTGTCCTTCTAAACTTGGTTCCTTTTAATGGGAGTGCATTAATCTTCAGTCGGACAGGAATAATAAAACACCACTCCTAATCACAAGAGTATGAGTAAAGGTTTGGTTTTATGATTGGTGTATTTCAGGTGCAAGAAAGGAGACATTGGCTTTACATGTGTTTTATTAAACAGAGTCTGGACTGAATCCTGCCCTGTTAAAGCCAAATTGCCGATCTCAAATGACCTATAAAACACAAGGTCCTGTTCCTGAGACTTTTGATGTCTAGAGGAAATATTTTAGTCAAACAGAAGCACCTTTATGCCTGGGAATATCTTTATCTAACTCTGTAGTCGTTTGCAACTGCATTTTAATCTATTTTTTATGGACTTTCAAGTGCCTTGTTTTACCCTCTTTTTACCTCCCTAAAAGGTACAAGAGTGCTAACTGGACTTCTCCATTTTATGCACCCCAGGTTTACAGTTTTCTTCAGGTCAAGGCAGCACACTTCCTTGCACCCCCCTCTCTCCTGTCTCCGTTTTCATAAATCCTCAAAATGATTTATTTCCTAGTAACTTTGCTTGTGAAATTGATGTGGACCCAGGGCCTTTGTAGCGTCTGGTTTCCCTGCTGTCTGCAGTAAAATCAGGCAGAGGTCCAGGCACGGGGCAGTGCTTGCGTGACTGAGCGCCCCCGCCTCCTCGCCTGTCACGATGTGGCCCCCAGACTCATAGCACTCCAGGTTGATAGATTTGAGGTTCCTGAGTTAAGTGTGTGGATTTATGGGAGGCAGTTGCAGCATGTCAGAGGAACGGTATAACTTTGAAAAGGAACACAAAAAGAGGGCTCTACCAAAACAGGAAAACAAAGAGGAAAATCCAAGGTGCTTTCAGGTTACTGGATGTGACTTAAAAAAATCCAAACACACTGCTTTGAAATTTGGGAGGGGGGCCCAGATGGCTGCTGGCTAACTCACAGCACCTGACTGAGATGAACTATCTTGCTCGGGTCGAGCTCTGTCTTTGCTGTTCATCAACATCTTTCATCGAGGGGAGATGATGCAGTGGGAGGGGAGGAGGTCACAAAAGGGTAGAGGAGGAAAGAGAGCAGGAGTGGACCTAGGGGGCAACCTGTTGAAACATTCAGAGTGAAAACTTGACCCCTGAATTTCAAGCATCTCCTCCCTACAGTTTCCTGTCTCTCCTTCTCACGTCATGTGCAACAGCAGGAAGGATCGTTTCCCTCCGTGTCACGTAACAGGGCTCTCTCCGTCCCCCCGTGACCCGAGCCGCTCCTCATCACTCACTTACCTCTCTGTGAAGCACAAGGTCTGATAAAAAATGGGAATGCTAAAGACTTCTAACACATTCACAGCTGTCCATCAAATGTCACAGAGTTTATCACAACCACTCCATCACGCAGATAGAGATTGGAGCATTGTTGCACGCCTTGCATGCAACAGCGCAAAGAATGTTGCGGTAATTTCTGTTCAACCATCAGAGAGGACGAATAATAATGGACTCAAGATGAGAATTTATGATGTTTGTTACACTGAGCAAAACCGCAAGCAACATAACCTTTAGTGGCAGAAATAAAAGTTATATTTTACAGTCGCTAGAGACTCTCAAGAGCAGGCTGAATAAATAAAAGCAGCTGTTATCGTCTAATATTGATAACACATGTGATCAATCTCTCAAATGCCAGTAATTTAAATGTACGACGCTGTTGTATCTGTCATGATATCATCCTTCGCTCTTAAAGGACACTACTGCCAGCACTCTGAAGTATTTCTCTTTTTTTCAAGTAGGATATAAACAGACCTCATAACTACCAGTTTGGTCCCGCACTTAAAGGACATGAAAGTTTATGGTTAAGAAGCTGAAGTCGTCTGGATCCACTCACGCTGCGCCTAGTTTGCTTTGCTGTTGACTTGGCTGTCGTTTGGCCTTTAAAATTCACACTTGGTGGAGTTGTGGTATCTGCTTCACACAAACGTTGAAAGCTTTCCCACAGTGCTTATTGCTCTGAGTTTATTACAGGGGCCAATTCTGCAGCTTGTGTAATGCTTCAGAGTTAAGAAAACACAACAGGTAGAGCACTTGGCAACTGAGAAATTATGGATAGCGGCGAAAGTTAAATATTTTGATTAAATAAGGAAATCTACGGTCTTAATTTGTGACATATCATAAGAACTAAAATATCGAAGTTTGTTGAATGGATTCTCAATTCACCAGTGACATAAACTCAATTTGGCAGATATGTAAATGTGTTAGTTTAACTGAAATCACACTAAATCAAACTCCTCATGATCTGACTAAAATGCCTCCATAAAACAGGGGATCGATTTTCTCTTCCATGTGTACAGCTCAGTTAGAACTGAAACTGTCTAAAGTGTTCTGTGCACGCTCCTGACTTTGTACATGAGGCTTTCAGCTGGAAGTTGAATAGCACAAATGTGTTGCTAGGAGGCCAGGTAGCGAACACAATCTTGACAGGCAAAGAAACGACTTGAAAAATGACAAAACTTTATCATACAAACAAATGATACAGAGCGGTAAAAGTTGCAGAGTTCGATATACATGCCCACGAGCCTCTAGCTACCGTGTGTGTAAAGGTCAACCATAAAATGACCTGGTGGTTACAAGCTGAAAGGGGGCATGTCGCCACCTACTGTAGCAGAGGCAGACTTGCTTCTGTGAATAATTTGATGGTTTCCTGGTGCTTGTAAACTGGGACAAGGACAGTATTCTGGTTAGACCACCTAATTGAGCTTTGACTGTAGCGTGCCTTAACCCTCCTCCTGTGTTAGGGTCTGCACCAACCCGTTTTTGTTTTTAAATGCTTAAAAGAACCACTTAAATAACTTTTTTGGCATCAAGACTTTTTGACTTTGTCAGGAACCTCTATTTCAACAAATGAAAAATAAAAATTAAACTGACTAAATTATAAAGTGCTCTTATTAAAAAATATGGCACTTGTTGTGTTAAGGTCACTGTTGACCCACTTAGATCAATATTAAGGCAAAAACTAAAATCAAAAGTGTACTGTCAGGCACCACACTGACAGTCAGATCCTCTTCCAATCATGTGAGATTTAGGAAATTCTCATTTTGCCAAGTTTTTTCCTGCACAAAAAATGTCTGGCATGTCTGGACATGTGAGATCAATTCAGTATAGATGTCTGTATGAGGGGTATACTGACAAAGAAAGGCCCTGAGGCCCACATCAAAACATATTATAAGCAATATTTTCATGGATAATGAAGCCTAACAAGGAAACCTAGGGATAAGAACCAAATTGGATGATGGAGAATGGAGATGGAGATGTTTTTAGGGTAATTTACAGCTAAGACACAGATAAAAACTGACCCTTAACATAGTGGGTGCGTAGTAAAAGCTAACACAGGAGGAAAATTAACCGTGCATACAAACGTACTGACTGGCTTATACAGGGGTAGCATATACTCTACACATGTAGGGATAAAATAAAAAGATTTTCTACTGCTCAACCACAGTGCTGAAAAATTTCTAGGATCCTCTGTGGGCAATAGATTAACTAGTGAGAAGTACCTCATGCAACCCTACTGAGTAAAAAACTATCCCTTTAAATTATGTTTTTTTTTTTCATGGTTCAATACAAAATATGTACATCTGCCAAGTTTCATGCCTTTGGCTCATGTGTATCCCACAGGGATCTGATTTCAGTTGAGCTACACTGTTGCCCAAGCGTGATAAACTCTGTTTCCTCCATCTTGCACCTTGGAGAGCTGTTAATCACCATGTAGCACTTCCCTCTACACGTCCAAGTGTGAGAATATAGTCTGTGAAAACAAATGTACTAAGATCACATGAGGAGACAAATGTGAAAAGCATCTAGTCTCGTGCCAAACTTCATCAAATCTTGTTTGTGTTAGCGTTTGAGTAAGTGGCAGCTTAATGTGAGGGACCACCGGAAAAGTTTGTTTCCTGGAGGAGCAGGGGAAGGTTGTTTTTTCATCCTCTCAATGGCTTTTTTTATGTCTCTTGTTGTCATTTATGGCAGTCTCAGAACATAAGGATGTGGCTCTTCTAAGTAATCGTGTATTGTCCCAATATGTGGTCCAGCTTTTTTTATAAAACGGTATTGGACAAACCGCACCATTTAGGCTTGATGAGTGTTCCTTTGGAGGAAATAAATCTTCTTAACGTGCTGCTTTGAACATGTCCACTAAACACATGCGATGCAAGAGGAGTTTTATCCCCGCTGTAGCAGCCTGTCTGAAATGTCATGTTAAAAAATGATCATGTGAAAATTTCACAACTCTGTGCCGGGAATATATAAGTCAAACTGACTTGAGACACTGAAGTGCGGTGTGACTGGGCTGGCTCTTTACTATTGCACAGCTCCTCGTTACAGGCGAGTGTCCGTGTTTACAGCCAAAGCATGACTTCCAGCTTCCAGAGTCAGACTGCTCCAAGTGGTTCCATCCCAGCAGAGGTATTGACTGAAGCGGTGGCAGAGGTTAATCTGGAACATACTTGTGACTATGTCGAGCTGTGTTATCCTGCTGTCCTGACATCCTGCTTGATTTATGGGCCTCATCTTGCTGCTGTTCTCCATGTCTCCTCACTGATTTAGTATTAGCAGAAAGTGACGTTAGATAAAGTACCCCGCTCTTTGTTTATTAAGTTATTGAGATATAAAATAGCCTAATGCCATCGCAAAACAGCCACTCTGCTCTCTTCTGCATGATAGTTTCACTTACTGAGGTTGTTGGTCAATTCCAGGTAAGTAGGTCAGGGACAAGACCATGGATGTACGAGAGTCATCCCTGTGTCCTTAGGCCAGCTCAGATTCTTACAATTCAAGTCTCAAATCTACACTGGGACACTTAACAGGAAGTTAGAACAATGGATAGCGCATAAAGAGGGGTAGCAAAAAACACCTAGTACAGGAATTTAGTGTTGCGGCAAAGTAAAGATGTAAGTAAGAAGTAAAGGTGCTCTAATGAAAAAAAGGTGAAGAAAGTGGGAATGAGGCCACTATTTTGGGACTTTTGTTTACATTAGCTGTGCTCTAACAATCTTTGTTTAAAATTGATATGCCCCTCAATTTTTTACAAATTTACAAGTCAACAAATACTGATGCTTTGCCAAGTCTATTAAGCATTTGATTGAGATTTGCAAGTAGTGTTTGTGTCTGCAGAAGACTGAAGACGAAATGGTGCTAACACCTGACTTTTTATTTATTTATTTATTTATTTTATGTGACCGCCCGCGAGCACTAAACTCCCGCATGACTGACACAAATAAGTGTCCACAGCTACGACACATGATGAGAAACTTTAAAAGTACTGAAAGAAGCCAGAGTCTGTGTAAGTTCAGAAACCATCCCTCACTTCAGCTGGACTATAAGTGACAATTGAAATGAAGTATTTTAGAATGGGTCATACCTTATTTAGGAGAAAACCCCTTCACTTCACACTTTTCAAGTGTTATCAGCAGACTTCAAATTAAAAGACCTCAATCTGGGGTGCTCAGGACTTAAATTTTGTTGCTCTGGTATACAGTATATTATTGTTACTAGAACCATTAGTTATGAATTTTTTGGATGGATGTATGAATGTGTTAGTTTGTAGGACTGAGGGATATTTGCAAGCAAACCTGTGCAAGATGTAGACCGAAGCCTGTAAAACCATTAAATATCTACAAATTGAGCAGAATAAAGTAAAATTGAATATTGAGGACATTTTATAGAAATACTGATCTAACCAGTGCAAAAACTAAAATTAAGACCATTAGAAATTAAACTTCTAAAATCAACATAAAACACTCGTGAAAAATAAGGTTAAGGTCATCAGAAAATTAAAATGAAACTTGTAAAACATTAAAATTTGACCTCCTTAAGAACTGTCAGTATTATTTTGAACCTTATTTGAGGATTACCCCTTCAACATTATCCATCTTGTTCCCAAGAAGGTCAACAAGAGTGAAGATTTCCACAGATGTTGTTGTGTCAGTGTCAGGGTGTTTCTAAAAAGGTAGTTATCTGATTTCTCTTGCACATTTGAAAGTGCTAGACATCAGAGAAGTCATCTTTAACTACGGTCTGTTACTTCTGGTTGGCTCATTTGGACATTTCTACTTGTGCTATAGCTACACAGGAGAAGAGCTTTAAAACTGGCGTTGTTAAAGTTTAAGAGGAGTAGAAGTTCACAAGTTACTGTTCTTCTCCACTCAATGTAAGATCTCAACACATGTTGAAACATAGTGTAAGTAAGTTACTCTAAAGTCAGAGCTGTTTTTCACATTTTTGTAACTTTTACTTGCCCCTGTATGGTTATAGCGTGTTCTTTGGAGTAGCAGAGGATCAGCGTAGGGTTCAGCAGTAAGTTCAGGAGAAGTCTTTAAGTCCAGTCACCTTGTCTGAACCCTACCTCACAGATTCGTGTTAGTCCTGTCCCACTGCTCAATTCTATATTTGTATACCCACTCAGAGTACAATGGAGAGAATTTGGCAGGCGAGAGAATATACAGAGACATGAATGTTAGCGTGAGCATTTGTTGGATTACATCAGTGGGAACAAGTGAAACCTGCCACGATCCTCCTGCTCCCTTTTCTCTGGCACTCTGAGAGGACGACATGCGGGACGGTAAACTCTGAGTGACCTGCCTGTGCATGCCATTCCTCAAAAGCAGCTACAGTGGGGCATATTTCCCTCTGACCAGGCAGGGATGTCACACACTCACTCAAATGTACCAGCACATTACCACGCACATGCTGCTCATCCTACTATCCCCCCACGGATTGTCTCCACCGCCGCTCCATCCACTACCACCTCCACCAACACCTCTGCCACTGCTCCACTCTAAGATGAGCGTGGTCAAAATGTGCCTTTCACACGGGCGGGCGTCCAAAGCAAATAAACTAACCACATGCCAGCTAACGAGGGCATGAACAGGGTCAGAAGGGGGGCTTGCCAGGAGGTGCCAGGAGTGACAGAGGGAGGGACATGGTCACGCAAAGAAAACAAGCTCAGCAAGAGCGAGCCAGCCTTCTCACGCAGAGGCCCAGACATGTGTCTTGTCATGCAACAGCCACCCCATCAACCCAAATTAGGGCTGACGGAGGTAATAAAGCGAGGGAGCAAAGGAGGAGAGCGAGAGGAGAAGAGAAATCATCCCCCGACTCCTCAGAGAGTGTAAAAGTGAGAGCGAGGATATATTGTTCACCTTTTAAAAGAGTCTTACAAAACAACCTCCGGCAACCTCAGTGCACCTCATAGTGGCTGCATGGTAAAGCTTGAGCAGTCAGATATGTCTTACTCACACACACGCTATGTCCTCAGTTAACCTGCAGAGAAAAGCCAGCTCAATGTACACAAGGTTCTGTTTCATTAGGTCCTCAGCAGCAGTATGGAAAAGTTCAGTTATTTGGCCATATAAAGGTTTTCCACCCTGAATTCTAAACCCAGTTTTTTTGTTCTGTTATGTTACAGCCGCTCTTTTATTTTTTTTATTTTTTACCCCTGAGGCAGTATTTCACCATATAATCATTTTCCAATAAACTGACAACTTATTTCAGCATCAGATATCTCATGTAAACACCACCAGATGACTGTACTGTATATAGTATGATCAGGACACAGTGTACATTTATTAAATCTCACAAGTACGGTGTTGGATGTCTTCTTTAGTTTACAGTTTAATGAAAGCAATAGAGGTTTGTATTTTATCATCACTGAACGGAAGACAAACAGTTGTTCTGTTTACTTAGGTTGGGAATCATCACTCCCCCTAAGGTACAATGTTATCACAACACTTCAGTCACCCTTCTATGTCTTCATGTTACCACAATATTGAAGTCACAAAATGATATCATGACATAATCACAACACCAAAGTCTCTCAAGGATGTCAGATTTTCATGGTGAGTCACAATACGTTTTCCTAACACTTAATCACAATACTAAATCACAATATTATCATGATGTCAAACAACAACAAAACAGTGTGCAGGACTCAATATAGTTTTGTTAACAAAAGGCAAGAAAAAAACAAAAACTTACTTTTCAAATGTCCAACCAAAAAGTGCAAATAAAATACACTAGGAGCAAAAATCCTGAAGACACAAAAGACACTGGGGTAAAACCACGACAGGATAATGAGAGACAGGTGAGACACTAGGGCACAGGTGCAGACAATCACTGAAGAGGTAAAACACAGGAAGTAAAACAAATCAAGACACACTTGAAGAATTAAAGAGGAAATATTGAAAACTGATCTTTATAGTAAACACTGAGAACACAAGAGAAAAAGAATCAAAGACACACTGAAAACACACAAAGGTTCAAAATACAATATCATCATAATTAAAATATTTTCCAATTATCTAAGTATTTTGATGCGATTTATTGCAGCATTATGTTATTTTGTACTCTTTTTCAACTGTATATAATGTCCACAAAAGAAAAATTTGTGTCTTTTAATCTCACTGTGGCTAAGGTTCTTCACAATGGGTTTCAAGCGCAGACTGACCGACACTGTTATATAACACTAACTTAAACTATTTTTGCTTACTGTTGTAAAAGCATCCTTCTGCTATACTCAAACTTGCCTAAACTCTGTCTTACTCTCCTGTAGACCTTACGTATAGCTGTGTCAGTGAAATAATACTGCAACAGGGTCACATCTGTTCCAGTCGTTTAACATTTAAAGAAAAGCCCCCATTTTCCATAACATTTAATGGCTCCAAGTCTTTCCATTAGAAGTAAGTCATGGATTGTTTGTTTTTGTTGTTTTTTGGCTCACTATACAATAGTAGGCAGCTTTGACAACCTTAGTGTGTCCTATGTTTGCTGAATAGTGATGAATGAGATGAGCTTTTGTACCAGTCATACTGACTGAGTATCAAATTTTTATAATATAATCCTTACCAAAAAATTCTCGAATAATATACAATATCGTACACAAACTGCATCACAATACTGATGAATTGATTTTTCTCCCACTCTTGTAACCACACTCTTTAGCTTACAAAGAATGGCAAACATCATTAACTGGAGTTTGGCAGTTACCGTGTCTGTCCTTGGTGTGCTAGATGAAAACAGTGAACATTAGTCAGTCCATTAATCAATCAGCAGTCTCTTTCAACTTCAGAGACCTGTAGAGGACAACTTTGCAAGCACAAGCAGGCCAGTCAAAGTCCTCAATGTTATGGGGCTACATGACTGTGCCATATGCCATGTTTGGACTCTTCAAGGCTACCCTTCAGGGCACAGTGTTTGGAGGAAAATTCAATGCACCCATTTATTTTCCAAACCTTAATGAAAGTGGGGCAGTGAAAGGCATGGGAAACATTTTGGACAGATTGTTAATAGAAGATGACTAATACATGGCCTGACAAACACAGGCCATGTTCCCCTTTGGACAATTTCCAGAGAATCAGGTCCAGACATGTCCTGACGTGCCCTTTCACATATGTAGCACACAGTGGGAGCTTGTCCATGTGGGACATACGTAATCTTTGACTACTGGCTCTGTGGGGTTTACGCAAGGGTTGGTGTCTGGGTAAACTCACAGATATTGGCTCATTTGGACATTACAAGTACTTCAAAAAGAG